CTCGACGCGACCGGGATCCGTTGTCGCTTTTATCGACGCGACGCGTCACCTTCTTTCACCGCTCTAAATCGCTATTTATTCAAACGAGTTACAAGTACGTGGAATTGTTTATGAATATTTCTATATCAAGTGGCGAATTACAGGCGTACGCTTTTTTCCTTTAAATTGCGAATTTAACTTTGAAAAGTGAATGTTTCATTTTATGAGAAATGGTTTTAAAATAGTTTTTATTTGGAGGGTGAAACGGTTGGCGTGGCTTTGTTTTAGGAGGTTTCTGCTTTGTCCCGTTAAACCACTGGCTGTGCGCCAAATTAATGAAATAAAACTGTTTTGTTTGAAGCGTATTTTTTTTTTAGATATACACCATTTTACATTCGTTCAGCTCTATTGGTTCGTTTTTCTTTGTTATTTTTCAGGTACTGCATAAGGGCAAAGCTGTTTGGTCGTATTTTTCTTGTAAGTACTCCCACGGTGGTCGTTTAGATTTCCTCCAATATTTAAATCGTGAATTTTCCGCATAAAATAACTCTCGCATCGAAGCTCAGGCATTCAAGTATAGAACCTACAAAACAGCACGCGGAAATCTCGATCCACCAACCCGGAAAAAGTCCAACACAAGCATCTAATAACGGCGTTCAGAAAATTCTTTTCAAATACAATTTTCGAGACCTCAATTTTTACACAATGGAAATTTCAAATATCTGGAAATGCAGCTCAAACATCGAACTACAAGATGCAGTAAACAGCACTTCGAAATCTCAATCTATATTATCAGAAAAAAATCTCAAGCGCACCCCTAACGACTGTGCCCAGAAAATTCTCTTCAAATGCACCGTGACCGAATTCAGAATTTTCAACATCTAAATTCTGGCACAATCGAAACTTCAAACATCACGAAATAAAGCAGAAACATCTAGCTAGAAAATGCACTGAACAGCGTTTCAAAATCTCAATCCATTCCGTCAGAAATCAACCCCCAAAGAAGCGCTATAGATCCGGATACAAAGAAACCCTCTTGAAATTGCCTAACGATGTTTCGAGAATATTCAAGGTCGCGACGTTCGCGCGACAGAAAGTTAAACGATCGACGCACAAAGCTTGAACATCGAGCTATAAAACGCTCTAAGCAAGCGCTTCGAAATGTCCACCCAATCTCCCAGAGGAGAATCGACAAGTAGCCGTGCAAAACGGGGTGCAGAAAATCCTCTTTAAACCGATCGCGATCGAATAGAACAGAGTCTATTGAATAGACGAATCTCCGAGCCGCATCCACGCAATATTAAACAGCCTCGCAACACAGCTCGGTTTAAAGCTCTCGGCGATCCTCGGACAATCAGAGCGCGCGAAAAAATCCGTTCGAGACTGGAGACCCTTCGATCGAGGGAGAGCTCGCGGTCCTCGACGTGCTCGACATCCACGACAGAATCCTCCTGCGCCAGTGTCCCACAGTTTGATCCCCGAGGTCTCCATCCAGCAGGAGACACTCGGTCGGATCCGGTGCTACCATTTACTTTCGTTTAATCCGATTGCTCGTGCAGCCCTGTCCTCCGGCGAGGCTTCGGTGTCCGTGGAGGTATAGGGCTGGCTTGCACCTGCAATTAGATACGCGCGTCTTGGAGCTGTCTCGCTCCGGGTTAGCCCGGAGAGCGGTCTGAAGGGGCCATTTGTCTCCGTTCGCCGTAATCTCGCGGTAATTTGTACCGCGCCTCAAACTCCGCTCTCTAACGCGATTCATTTTTCACGGTCCCTCCTGGAAGTTTGCCGGGACGACGTCTCTCTCTCTCTCTCTGTTTTTCTCTTGAACCCCCGCGCAACCCCTTTAAATAGTTAATGAAAAGTTCCGTGTCACGGCCGGCGATAAATCCTAATTCCGGGGCGGGATTACAGGCAGCCAGCGCGGGTCAGATCGCGATAACACGTTCGCAAGAGGTTAATTATTACTGCACGCCACCGCCGCGCCGGATTGCAAGGGGCGAGGGTAACCGCCTTCTCTTCGGTCGCGAGCCTGGCTGCGACCTCGCTTTCCATCATCCCCTTAGCTTAGCCTTCGCAAGATGTCCCGCTTGAGGATTCCGCGGCCTTTCTGTTCACCGTTGTTCACGAAACTGGGCCGACGAGTCCAAAAATGTGATTTAATTTGCGATTCTACGTGAAAGAATGCACAGAGATTATTATCAGAGATTATAGTATTTTTTATATTATAGATTGTAGTTTCTCTTATATTTTTACAGATCATATTATTTTCTATTATATTTTATTTTTTATTTTTAAAACGAGCCGCGAGGCTCGAACAATCGTATCCGCTCTTCCCAAATTGTCCACTTTCGTGCGCGATCTGAGCGCGAATTAGGAAGAAATTACCATAAATACGAATGTAGTACGAGGTAAATAAATACGAAGAAAAAGAAGGAGAAGAGAAGGAGACACGGCGTTGGTAATTAAACGACGATCGATCGCATCGCGTGTGTCGGGACACAAGCTGCCTGTGACTTGGAGGACTCGTTTTAATCTCGGTCAGAAGACACGGTAGGAACACAAAAGAGAATCGTCGGGGCAAAGACAAATATTTGAGCGGAGAGACTCGATTGCAGCGCAGAAGTTCCGCCATCAGAAAATCCGCCGGAAAATCGCGACGCGGAGACGAAAGTCGCGTCTGGAAATGATCATTCTCGAGATACCCGGCATCCGCGGATTGTACCGGCCTCGGCGCGTCTCGCGACGAGGGTGGAAGGGTGAAAGAGTCCATGGCGACCGGAAATAAGGGGATTCCCGCGGCGAGACGCCGAGGAATCTCGAGGGCGATCCTCGAAACGATTGCTCGCCCGCGCGAGGACATGACTCGGGAAAATCGCCCCATAGACGTCTCGAGGGGCTGTTCACGGTTGCAAAAAATGTTTACCGTCGAGACGTAGGGATGAAACTGCGATGGAAACATCGTGGCAACATCGAGCTACGTCGTAATCACGAGTGCATGAAAAATCACGGCTGCATATATATTTCGACGTTTCGATGTATATATATACTACTGCCAGGCCAAATATATTTGAAATTGTTTTAACTATGTAAAAACCAGACGTCGCTCGTTATGTTTCTGTCTTGTCAACATAACTATACGATTACATACTTCTAACAAAGAAAATGAAAATTATTTATCGCGTGTCCATATTTACTTAAATAGCGACGACAAGAGAACAGAATTTTATTCAAACCTTAAAAGAGCGGAATGACATTTATATTTAACAGGTGATTATTAGAAATCTCCGTCACGCAAAAGGTTGAATGTGTTTAAACGTCGATAGAGGAGAAAGACGGAATTCCATTTCGACTCGATAGAAATATTGTTTTGGATCGCGTCGGATTTCGTTCGAGACCATTGTCGATAACTGGGTTAATAAATATAGAAATTTCAGTATCGGATATAACGGCAGCTTTCGAATAATCTTCGTAATCGGCGGTAGCGATTCTGGAAGTGGGTCGGAGCGCTGCAGAAAATTTCGTAGGGGGTGTCGGCATGACCGGCGAGAGATTGATAGTGCCCGGTAGAGTAATCCGATGGAACAATCGACTTCGCCGAGCAGAAAGTTCGGCGGTAATAGCCGGTACACGAGGAACTGCGAGGAAATGCGAGGGACTGCGAGAGTCCGACGGGTAAACGAGCTCGTCGAACGCGGTTCCGGATCGGGCCGGGCTCAGCTCCCAAGAAATCCGCGAAGTACCGGAAACTTTCACCGGGCAAACTATCCGGCCGGTACCGTCACGCGACCCTGCGCTCACTTTTCATCGAGTTTCCACGAGGAAATTGTTTCCCGTGGCGGGCGTAAACTCCGGTCTCCGCGGATTTTCGCTATCGATCCTTGGCACCGATCTGGAACCGGCATTATTATTTCAAACGCTGATCGCGGATTCTTTTTTCCGATCAAGTTTCGCGAAGGATTAAGGAATCGCTTGCATTTCGCCGAGATTATATACCTATTCTATTATATTTTATATTTATTATTATAAATACATATTAGTTTATATTTATTAGTTTTATGTGAAATAATGTGAAATTTTAGGTTATGCGAAATCTGCATTAATCGCAAGAAATACAAACGAAAAAAAAGCCTGAACGCCGAGAGAAAGAATAGAGCTCTGTACAGTAAATGCAGTAAATTCACCCTAATCGACTCTCAGATTATAAACAAAAATGGACAGTTTGGGAAGAGGAGATGCGATTGATGATAGTTGTCGACGACCGGTAACTATAAAAACGAGTCGCAAAGCTTGTACAATCGTATCTCCTCTCTCTGCAAATTGTCCATTTTTGTGCGCAATCTGAGCGTCAATTAGGAGAAATTTACCGTACCAAGGAAAATAAACGATTTCTTAAGTCGAAATTAGCGAGACTTTTAAACAGCAAGAGTGCGCGAAAAGAAACAGGAGTTCCTTCGAGCAGAAACTAATAAAAATCAAAGAACCGAGAGCGCCGAGAAGAAGCAAGAAGCAGCAGAATTCGCGGGAAAGAAAGGAAAACAAAGAAGCAACGCGAGGCTAGAGGAAGAGACGCGGGAAATAGGAAAAAGGGGGGAGCGTGGAAACGGGCATCGTCGTTTCTAATTAGAGCACGAGGGACATTAGACTCCGCGATACCATCCGGCGGAGCAACAATCGTTGGCCGCGCGTTCAAAGGCGTTTCTTCTTTCGAAGCTGGTGCTTGCTTGCGCGAGTTTGCGAGGTTGCTCGACGCACCAAGCCAGTTGCGAGAGATCGCTTTTGTCGGCGTTCGGAACAGGGAGCGTGTGGCGCAAGCCCGTCGCAGAGTAACGGGTCTTTAAAGAGCCCGCGTCCCGGAAACGGCAACGACAAAGACGCGTTTCCCGTTCTCGCGATCAAAGCTACTTACACGGTGAAAGCTCGGTCGGGAACGGGCGTTCTCGCCGGCTAGACTCGCCTCGGCTCCGCGAAAAAAGGGAAAAGGGATTATCTTTTTGGTAGACGCTTTTTCCCTCCTGTCCTCTTACCTTGGCTCCGAGCGGCGGCCGGCTCTGCAACAGAGAAACAAACGCATCGTCAGTGTCTGGATCGCGGACGCTTTACTTACTGCGATTAATACGGCCACGCATTCGCGATTTTTCGCTCCCTTTCGCGCCCTATCGCGTTTTAGCGCAGCTGCCGAGCAATTAGGCAAAAAGCCTTCCGCGCGTCGCGTCGCGTCGATGAAAATTCTGGCACAATTTCCGCCACCAAGCCTTTCTCTCTCTTTCTCTCTCTTTCCACCCATGTATAATCTCGCCGGATCGACGAACGGGCCATTCCGGAGCGTTCGATTAATCGGAGTAGCCTTTTGTCTCGCGATTTTGTATCATCATCCGTCCCTGACGTCAACTTGACACTTCTTTCGACTCTCGGAGTATATTATCCTGCTATTTTTAGGAAATTCATCTCGTTTCTATCTTTTTAATATAAAAGCAAGTAAAAAATTGGAAGAATTCAGAAAAATTGGAAAATTTACCACACAGGTTTTGTTTCTGATCGAGAAAATCGCACGGAAGGATTCTGTTTCATATCGCGATATTTGTATTACATTATGTTTAGCAGCTGGGCTGAAAAGGAGTCTGCTTCGCGAATTAACTTGATCATATTTCGCTCGAGGATCTCGGTTCTGAAATTAAATCGAAAAATCGAAACTAGTGCCCGACGCGTGCGTATTCCGCTCGGTCCGAATATCGTACGAGTACCATTCTACATGTACACGAAGTTATGAAAATATGTACATAGCGTTTCGAGTGGAAAGTATATAAAACAGGTTCCCATACAAAACATTTGAATAGCTTTCGCAAAAACGAGACCGCAAAAAATGCCTGAAGTTCAACTTTGTTTTCGGTATTAAATTCTCTGAAAACTAAAGTTGATAAAAAAATATGGTTTCCTGTATCGCATTCAGCGCAAGAAAATATGCGGACTCGTTGCACTCATCCATCGAATATTGAAAACCCATCGTAAATTTGACTATGTCCAGCAACGCGGAGAATGAGCGGCTGGTCGCTTTACGTATATTTTAAATACGTTCAAACGCCCCCGGTATTATAAAAATATATATCATTTCGTTTCGGAAGTTCCATAGAATCCTCCAATGAAAACAACATTTCAATAACTGTCACAGCAAAAGCACGAAAGAATTTCCAATGATGAAAACTTGATTTTGCGTCGAGAACTATAGCGCGTCGCTCGCTTTAAATATTTGTCGAATTTGTTCAAATGTTTGTAATATCATAAAAATGTACGTCGTTTCGTTCGGAAAGTTCTCCAGAATAATCTCCACTGTCCTATCGAACGTTGAAAGCTATGTCAAAGGAAGGGTAAAAATTCGAACATCTTTGTCCAGTGCTATTTGATTAATCGATGCAATGTACCGGGAGTGATTCGCGAATGGTTCCTCGACGGGATCGAGCGATCGACGGATAAATCGCCCGCGCGGAACGAGCTCTGGCAAAATTCTGCATTGGACGTCGTTGTCTCTACAGCGACGAGCCGATTGTCGACGGGCCGAAACCGTCGAGGGCCACTCGTTCGTAAGCGGAGCGCGATTAACGCAAATATCATCGAAACGTCGGTGCTCGTTAATTATTCGACGCGTGGTTGAATTAATCCGAGTTCGTTCGTCAATTAAGGGAATCCTGGAGGGGGTCGGCAAAGGGAGGAAATAGGGGGAGGGGACCAGGGAGAGAAACGGTGTTAATCCTCGCGACCCGTGCGCGGCCGATTTCCGCGAACCCGAGATTTAATTAAACGATCGTTCAAGGGATCAGCCGGATGGATCCCGCTCGAATAACAACGGAAATACGATCAACGGTGTCGATAACAGGCGCGGGTGAAGGGAAAGAGTTCTGGGGACCGGTTAATCGCGTTAGCCGGTCGACGCGATGCGACCATTCGATCGATCCCCGGCTGATTCGATTCTTCTCGCAGCCCGGCTGGGAATCACTTTTACCGGGACCGGAGAAGCCGAATGTAATTCGCGAGGAGAGACGCAGATTAAAATGGACAAATCGGTCCGATGGGAAGCTGCGAAGCCGAGGATCTGGGACGAACGATTTACCCGGACGGATTTTCGCCGACTCGCGACGGATTCCATTTTTAAGCTGTTTAGACCGCGACTATATCAATCCCCTTGATACAGCGGGACCGACGAGCCGGCCGAAAAATAGTTCGCACCGAAATTGGCTCCGAAACGAGTGGCCCTTTTATAGAAGATCGCGAAGAGAAATCGTATAAAGGTCGATTACACGCGTGGACGGGTCAGAAGCCATTCGGTGTAAGTCCATTATCCTTAAAATTTGGATAAAAAAGGATTCGGTAGATTATATAGCTGTGAGAAAATAACAATGCCAGTAATAATGCAAAGTACAATTTTTATTATAACCAAAGAAAAAAGAAGTTAACATTAATATTTGATTAGTTTTTACTTAATTTCTTTCGTTTCTATCCCTTTTTTATAATTTTTTCTATTTTTCGTTTAGTCATTCCGTGATCGATGTAAGTGCTGCTAATCCGTTGTTATATTATGAAGAAATCGGGTGTGTTTCGGAGTGCGACTTATCTCGATCAATTTTTGAAGTACCGTCGTTGCGAGATCGCCGAGTCATTTGTAATCGGATTTCCAATTTATAAAATGGACAAGATAGGCAGAATCTTCTAGATTACGATGGGAAAAGTTGCAATCTGATGCAACAAGTAGTTCGCGAAACAAAAAATCAAATGTACAGTGTGTTTTGGAGGGAGATTCTTTTAACCTAGTTTAGGAGTTTTTGCACCGTGAGATTGCTGAGCTATTCGTTATCGGATTTTCAATTTAGAAAATGCCCGTGATAAGCCGAAGCTTCCGGATTAAGATGGGAAAAGTTTCAATTGGATCGGACAAATAGTTTTTCACATACAAATGGAAAATTGCGTCAGGGGTGTTGCGGACCGTCACTATTTTCTACTAATTTTCGGTATTATTTCGAGTTGAAATCTCCATCGCGTATCGGACTCGTCAAAATATGGCAAGGGGTTAAATAGAGAAGAAGAACGTTTCGTAGGAAATTCGAACTGTTTTCGAAAGCAAAGCGCGGAGTTGTCGATGCTCGAAGAGGCGCGGAACAAGACACGATTTGGTGGGCCGACATAGGCGTGTCGTGGCCCCGGCAAGATTCAACCTGGAAGGCATTACCGTCGGTGATGCATACATCTCTGTAGTGGCCCGTAGCTCAAAGCGTCAGGCATAGCTGCATATCAACGCCGCGATGCTGCTCTCTGACCGGCCGGAACACGGACAAAGCGATGCAATTTGTGGAATCGCGTAATCGGCTTTACGGCTTTTACCGGCCTTGATATTCGGGGATCGCGTATGGGAAACGCGGCCCCGGCTACGTAATCGTCGTCGCGAACGCTGTACCCGGCGACATATCGTTGCTAAATACATGCTAAATGAACACGGGCCGACAGAAGCCGATAGCCGTGTTTGCCAAGTGCAATGGACGCGTCAGACGTGTATAGGGGAAGAGCGACGGTGGTCCCGATGAGAGGAATCTGCCGACTCGTCAATAATTTTATGCTGCTGGTAGACTCCGACTTGCTGGAAAATTATTTCTGCAATTATCAGCGGATTACAATCGCAGCATTGAAAACAGCTGATCGTGATATAAATAATAATTTTAAAAAATGTCACCTATGATGAAAAAAACTGAATATATACCGTATTTGTATATTTCTACATTTGAAATAATAGAAAATAGAAATGTACAGATGCGATATCATGTCATGTTTTCGTCTAGATATCAGTAACAATGTAGAAGTTACTTTCAGTCCATAATTATGCGCACCACTGTATGTGACAGACGCGATATGTTAACACGTTCGCGGACGTGAATGCTAAAGCGTTCATTTTCATCGTGATGCAAAATTATACGAACGCTGCAACGTTCAAATTTATAAGCCACATTATCACGCGTTCCATTCTACATCGCGTGTTCATTTTTTTTAAATTGTTGTGCACTTTGATTCGACCTGTATCGACATGGGGATGTTACCGATGTTATTCATTGCACGCAACTATCGAAACGTGATATTCTGAGAACTCGAACGAGATCGGACGGATCGAAATTTGGCTACAACAATTAGTTTCGGAATAACTCTCCTGTCTATTTTTGTAGCTGATTAAAATTTCTACCGTCTGCGAACGTGTTAAGCAACGCTCGCGATTAGAAGCTCAGACCTTATTTGCCAGGCGAGTAGAGGGAGGGCAAGAAAAGGAGGGAAGAGGTCTCCGATAACCCAGATCCAATAGAGGAGGCTAGGAAGAAGCTCGACCGAGGACGGGCAGGGCTTTTGTCGCGGGCTGTTCTCCTTTTTTTCATTCTGCCCCGTCAGTAAATCGAAAAGAGTGCACTCGCTGGTCCCGCAACCGAGCCGAGCAGAGGGTGTGCGGGTGTGTCGGAGGATGGCAGAGGGTGTCGGGACGCGCGAGAAACATCAGACAAATGAGCCGGAGAGAATCAAGTGTCTTCTCGCCTACTTTCCCCCCTCGGCCACTTCTCGCTTCTCCGGCTAGTCTCCCTCTCTCTCTCTCTCTCTCTCTCTCTCTCTCTNATTCTGCCCCGTCAGTAAATCGAAAAGAGTGCACTCGCTGGTCCCGCAACCGAGCCGAGCAGAGGGTGTGCGGGTGTGTCGGAGGATGGCAGAGGGTGTCGGGACGCGCGAGAAACATCAGACAAATGAGCCGGAGAGAATCAAGTGTCTTCTCGCCTACTTTCCCCCCTCGGCCACTTCTCGCTTCTCCGGCTAGTCTCCCTCTCTCTCTCTCTCTCTCTCTCTCTCTCTCTCGTTTTCTCTCTGTCTCCCGAGCTCTCCGTCGAGCGTACACCACGGTATCCACTCGTTCGGCCGCCTTTAACCCCGACTATCGCACGCCCCAATCTACCCTAAGTGCATTACGCCGAGCTGCAACCTGCTCCGGTCCCTACCGATCAGATAAGCGGGAAGCCACCCTCGAGAAGCCAGAAAT